CATAGTTCAAAGCATTGACACAGGAGGAAAAAAGCAACTGGTACAAAGTTCATGGTCATGTGACAAGCCACCAACATACAAACCAACAGAGGGGAATCGGCCCTGTGGTTATGTACAGGGGACGAGCTGCATGGGTTGTGACATAGTGAAAGGTCAATGTGCTTGGCCAAATAACCACACAGCAAAAAGAGCTGTTGAACACTTACTGAGCCCCATGCATTGTTTGCAGGACCTTATGAGTCCTAAGACCCACATGTGCCCTTAACTCACTCAATTCTCATAAAAGTCACTGAAATGGCCATGCCTAATGTCTCAGATTTGGAAACAGAGACGCAAGGAACTGAAGTGCCTTATTGAAGGACACAGCTAATTTGGGATGCTCTGCCACGGCATGTGTGATTGCTACATGGTCATGTCTACAGGGATGGTGTGGAGTGAACAAAAGAGAGCCCAGCAGAGACGTCATATTGGTGAGCAGAGTTCCAAAGTGTGTGCACACTGACCTCAGATAGAAGTGCACCTAGAAGGGGTAAGGAGAGCGGGCTGTGAGACCAGCTCCCCTCCTCTGCCACCTTACTTCACATATATATACATGTGTGTGCGTGTGTGTGTGTTATATTTTTTACATTTTTTTCTTTGTTAACAAAGTTGGCCAGTAAGTTCTAGCTTGGGCAAGCACCTGGTGGCCAAGTGAGTGAATAAAGAATAAGATAAGGGGGGGGGGGCGGTGGCGCATGCCTGTAATTCCAGGGACTCGGGGCTGAAACAGGAGGATTGCAAGTTGGAGGCCCCAAGTAACCCTGTCTCAAAAGAGCTGAAGTTACAGCTCAGTGGTAAAGCACCCATGGGTTCAACCCCCAGGGCTAAAACAAAACAAAACAAAACAATAAATAAACAAACAAAAAACAAAACAAAAAAAGAAAAACAAGATATATATGAATGGCTGACCCTAGCATAGCTATTGAGCCTCAGTTTCCAAATTAAGGAAGTGGGCCCTGCCTCTATGGATTCCCCCATCACCCATGGGTACAGGACATTCAGAGCTCCTATCAGGCTCAGCAAGCACTTCCACTGGCCCAGGGCTGGTCTGAAGTGAAATCCAGGAGCAGCTCTGTGCAGCGAGGAAAGGGCTCCAGGCAGACTCCATTGGGCCTGAGGGAGCTCCTATGGGCCTAACATGGGAGACTCAGCTTGCTGAGTGGTTCTCCGGAGCTGACTTCAGGACACTCACAGTAAAGCCAGATTGGTGCTGCTGGAGTGTGCAAGAGGGCAGGAGAAGGGGAGCAGGTGCACTATGGGAGAGGAGACCCCAACTATTCTAGGCCTGTGAGTCAAGTCCTTGGCTCCCTTGGAAGCTGCACGCACTTGCTTCTTCCCCAGAAAGGAACATGTTGCTGTATCTGGCTTGAGTCCTGGATAGGGCACTGTAGCAGCCTGCAGCCACTGGCTTTCCCTCCACTGAGCTATGACCCATGGTACCCACAGGGATAAGACTGAGTCTTCTGAGTACGCTGCATCCTCCTGATATCCAAGGACAGGGCTTAAGAGGATGCTCTTATTTTTTGGTACAGGAGATTGAATCCAGAGCCTCCTACGTGCTACGTACATGCTCTACCACTGAGCTGCACCCCACAAAAAACACAGTAGAGGCACCTGTTGTAACCAATCTACTAGGGCTTCCATAACTTAGCTCCACAAACTGAGTAGGTTCAACAACAGAAACATTCTCACTCACCTGGAGGCTAGAAGTTGGAGTTCAAGGCATGGTTGGGCCCAAATTCTCTTGTAGGCACCTGGGAAGAATTCATTCACGCCTCTGGGCTGCTGGTACCATAACCTGAATTTTCACATAACTCACATCCTGGAAAACTCACCCGGAACCACTCCGGGCTCCCTGGGCAGAGCCTGAATTTCTGAATGTGCTGTGAGTGGGATGAGGTGGTCAAGTGGGGCTGAGGCCACCCTCCTCTGAGGGCACAGCCATCATTCTCCTGCCAATGGGGCAGGACTGGGGACCATCTGGATGGATGGAGCATGAAATTCCCTTACCACACAAAATACCCACCCAGGGACGAACCAGATGCACAGAAGTTTGTTTCCAAACTGAGATTAAAGACGATTGCTTCTTTAAAGGTTCTTTCTTTGCCTATTAGGATTCACAACTGTGGGTGTTGAGCAAGGGCTGGTTGTCGTGACACTGGGTTGAGGAGTCTGGGCTCCCCTCTCAGCTTCTTGGTGGAGGAAAGTCCCTCTGAATACAGGGAAACCTGGCTGAACGTAGCATGGAAGCAGCTGGCCACCCTCTACTTGCCCTGTTCATGTGGTGTCCCCAGCAGGCCTGCAGGATGCTGAAGCCTCTGAAATGGCCAGTTTTATTGCCACAACCCAGGAAAGCTCCATCTGCCATCTAGGGACTCAAGTCTCCAGGGAAACCTGCCCCACACCGATGGATGGGGAGGGCTCCTTCCTTCCCAAAGCCCCATCCAGATTCAGTCTGGCTCCCGAGAGGTCACGTTCTAGGCCTGCTGGTCAATGACTGGGGGCAATCTCCCACTCCGCCCTTGAGCAGTGCATGGATTGGTCTACTACTGCAGCCATTTCCCCGGTATCAGGGCTCTGCAGGTGCTGGCCATGTGTTTAGTGCTTTCCAGAACCTGACTTCAGTTCCTTCTATTAACCCCGTATCAGCAAGTCTAACTAGAGAAGCAAATGGTATAACCAAGGGTGAGGTCATCAGACCTGAGACCAGGCAAGCAGAGCCCCAGTGGCCATATTCTATGGGTGACAACGTGGCATTTACTACTACTGAGACCTTGGGCAAGTTCCTGTGGCCTCTGAGAAAAAAGAGGTCAAGAGGGTCACTGTGAGGGTTAAAGGAGGTAATTATACAAAGTACTGGCCAGGGGACAATACTCATGAGCAGAGCCAGGCTCTCAGAAGATTTGTCAGCTCTCAATGTTTGGACTTAGTAGCTCCCTGAGAAGAGGAGGCAGGTCAGCGTGAGCAGGTTCCTTCCAAGTTTAGACCAGCTTGTAGATGAGGGATCTGTTACCTGTCCATCTTCCCTCTTCTAGTGACAAGAGTCCTGGGGTTGAAGCTGGGCACTTCCCAGCCTCCCCAGAGGCCACACATCTTGAGAGGGCACAGAAGTTATGTTGCAACTTGTGAGTCATGCCCTTAGGGGCTTGTCTGCCCCTGCCTCCTCTCCCCTTTCTTCCAACTGGAATGACAATGGGATGGCAGGAGTTGGGGGGACCATGTGGTAACAGGAAATAGGGCACTGCCTGGAAGATGGTGGGACAATGAGAGAAGCCTGGGTCTGCTGATGCTCACACTGTCACTACACAGCAGGCCACCTCTCCTGTCTGGGCTGCATTTACAGCAGTCTAACCAGAGGCCAAGCCCTGGCTTCTGCTGCCAAGGAACTGGCCGCATCCACTGTGGTATCCCCACCAACGGTGTAGGAGTAGGCTGTGTGTGGAGTGGGCAAGGATGTCCCTCCCGGGGCCTTGCCTCAGGGGCTGTGGCAAACAGGACCACTCTGCTCTTGGCTCATCTGCTTATAACACACTCTTGTGATACACGCAGGGAAGTGCTCCATTCAAAGTCACAAGAAAACTGACATCACACCCTCCTTCAGCATCTGGATCACTTCTTCACACCCTGAAGGCCCCATGTGGATTCTGTGGGTCTGCGTTTCAAGGGCCACCACTGAAGCTGAGCACCACGCTGCAGTCAGTCGACATCCTCCCCGCCACAGGCCACTTGGCTACGTTGCTTAGGGCTGTGCTGAGGGGTGCTGAGAACGCGGTGGCATAACTACTGAGGGCCCACCCTGCAGTCAGGCGTGCTGAGGTCTGAAAGCTGCCTAAAGTCACACCCACTTCATGGCGCTTGTTGCTTTCACATCTATGTGCCAATCAGGAGCCCATACTGCACAAAAAACGCCTGTTGAAAGGGATGGAGTTACACTTCCAACTGAGGAGGGGGAGCAGCATTGGGATGCTCCAAGATCAACGCAAAGGGTTCTGGGGCAACAACACTCAAGGAGGAAGAGGAATCCTCTCCTCCTGTGTTCTCCACAAGGCCCCGAATCAGACGCCAACAGGCACACCCTAGGCCCTGGTGGCAGGCAGGAACTCAAGTCTGCCAAAACTGGTCCCAGAACCCAAGGAAGACCAAGACTTTCTGAACTCTTTTTTATTAAGTTAGAAAACTGATAAAAGCAACACATTTTTGGGGAAAGCACCATGGCCGGGTCCTTTGTGCTGTGAGAAGTGTGCTTTATCTCGGCTCAGCAGCCCACGGGGTCAAGGGCCACTCCCTGCAGGCCTGCAGATCTTCCACCCGCTACAGGGCCCAAGAGCCCCAAGTTCTCCAGCAGTATAGCCGCCTGGGGCGCAGCCTGAGAGCACAGGCTGGCCTCTGGGAAGGGTGGGGTGTGGGGTCTAAGGTACCACTGGAAGCAACTGCCACTTCCAGCTCTCTCCTGGTGGGTAACTGATTATTGGAGCACATCTACAGGCAAACCCAGCCCAAAGTCCCACTCCCCAAAAGACACCCACAGGGGCAGCACCAGTGTAGAGGTATGGGGACATTTGGGGTCATTAAGTAACTGGTCTGTACCCCAGTCTCTATCAGCAGCGTAGCCCACTTGAATCCCACTCCTGAGCCAGACAGGCAGCACATGCAAATGGCAGGTGGCCTGGGAAGCCACAGGTCAGGGAGCCCTGCCCAGCCCCCTACCATGGTACCATGTCCCTGTTTCCCTCAGATGGTGGATAGGATGAGTGAAGGATGAGACTGAAGTCTGACACCAGGTGTCAAGCTGACCTCCATGCAGTCTGAATTCTGGGAGTACACTGATGAGGGGCTCCCCAAGAACTAGGAAGTGAAAGCAATAAACAAGTGTTTGGCAATTCTCTCGGGACCATTCTATTACTTTCTGAGCTCACAGAGCAAATGGGTCAGGATGCAGTGTCACTAGTTACAAGGACAAACCTGGCCATGGAGTATCTGTAACGGGTGCCCTGTGGTAATTCTGTTATCCCCAGCTCACAGCTGCCCCTAGTCTTAGAGGGCAGGGCCACCACCTGAGGACAGGTGTGGTCTCCCGAAAGAGCCCTTGGTGCTGTTGATGGATGCAGTCCCATCAGGAGAGGGAGTCACTACTGCCTCTTAGGGTGGGCTGAGGGGACGGTTCCTAGGGCCTCGAGTCTTGCTGAGTTGACCCAGCCTCCTAGGCACAGCATCCTGGGGCCAGGTCCCCAGTGGACTAAGGTTTGAGGGCCTCATGGGGCACTGCCCACAGGAATCTCCCCTTTGGCCTTGGGGGTCTGAGTGCATGTACTAATGAAGACTTGCGGATGTCAATGAGGTCACTAGGTGGGGTTTCTGCCTTTGTGAAAGCCATGCTGCTTTCTCCTCTGCAGCCTTCTGCTCACTCTGGTGGACATGCCTCCCCGAGGTCTGGGACAGCAGCTGTGGGTGACATTACAGCCTCCCAGAGAGCAGCCCTAGAATCAAAGGCTGTGCCATCAGTGCTAAGTGACCCAAAGCTCTCCTGTGCTGCCACCCCACCCCTTCTCTGACCTTGACCTCCCAGCCCAAGTCCAGGACTTGCTGACAGATGACCTCGAGCCTTTGCAGGTGTGTCCTCCCCAAAGGCCCAGGGGAGTTTTGCTGGCACCCCTGTCCTCTGGCTGCTCTTCTTCCATGCAAACCACTCGAAGCTGAAGAGGCTTCCAGGGCCACAGGACGCTTGTCTTGTCTAAAGCTCAGAACAGCCTCGAGGTTGCTGCAGCCTGGAGCTGGTGCAGTCGGCTTCTGGCCACTCGGAGAGCTCTGCACTGCGGCAGCGGGGTCAAGGCCGCTCTGTGAAAGTGAGGGCCGCAGCCGCGGGGCAGGAGAGACACGCAGAGTCTGTGGAGGAGAGAATGGGAGAGAATGAAAGAACGAATCAGTGGCCCTGTTCTTCTGTCCTAAACTGGAACAAAATCAAGAGGCTGCATAACAATGCTGGAACTCGGGCGCCGACAGCAGAAGCCCAGGATAAGAACAGGGCTCTTCCGTCACCAGCTGCACGGAGGTTTCCTCACCTGCAATGTGGGATACCACCTATCTGCCCGTCATTCATCTCAAACCACATTCCCTACACACTCTGTTAGGCACCCTGGAGACCTTGGGGCACAGGAAAGCAAACAGACACAGCCACTGTCTCCATCCATGTCCTTGTGGGGGAAACCACAGACTTGTACAAATAATTATACAGAGAGAAGTGCTACAAATAACAAATTTAAAAATGAGAGTAGAGCCAGGGCCTTCATTTTATTTTGGTGGAGGACGTGGGAAGTGAGTAATATTTAACCTGAGACCAGAAGGATGGGCAGGAGTAAGCTAGAGGGGAACGGCAGCCCAGACAGAAGGAACAGCATGTGCAAAGATCCTGAGGTGAGAATTTGGCACATTTGAAAATATAAATAAAAGTAGGCTAGTGAGGCAGAAACACAAGGGCAGATGGAGGGTCTACAAGAAGGGGGGAGGGCAGGCATGTGGTCGGCCATGCTGTTAAGAGGAATAAGTGACAGACAGGCTGTGGACAGTAGCCAGCAGGCTCATGTGTGCTGTAGACAAACATTTACTGCACAGCCTCTTGACTCCAGGCTGTGGGGACACAGTGGGGACCAGGTGAGACTGTCCCTATGATCAGGAAGCTCACTCTTGTGCTGTGTTCTCTACCAATACACCCCGCTTTGAGCAGCAGTGCTTCCCCTGGAAGTGAGGAGATGCCTTCCAGAGAAGCTGAGAATCCAAGGGCTGGGAGAGGCTTGTGGGGAGCAGCCCTGAAGCAGGGAGAAGAGCTGACTTGCTGCTCTGGTTCTCAGAGCTCAGCAAATCCTTACCCTGAGGGGGGATGTGGCTGGAGCTATGAGCCCAGGGAGACATCCCCTGGCCAGGCTGCAGCTCCTGAGTGAATTTAGACAGACACACCTTGCAGGACAGAGCACTGAGCCCGTGGAGGACCTGGAAGAGAGGGCGAAGCCCTCAGGGCAGCAAGGGAGAAGCCCCCACAAACAGATCTGCTGGGCAGGGTTTCTCAAAGGAGGGTCCCCTGTATTAAGGGGAGGGGTTAGAACCCTCCATGAGGGTCTTCTGGTGCACCTGTGTCCACTCACAATTTCAGTGCCCAACAAGCTCTGACTCTGCTCAGCCCTGGAAGTGCTGTGGGCTCCGAGGCAGCTCTAAACCAAGGAGTCACAGCTGAGTCCCAAATGCCAGGCTGCCCCAGGGGCTCCTGGGGCACAGGCAGGCTGTGCTCCCTAACAGCCCTGCCCATGCAGCCTTCACTCCAAAAGGCAGAGGCAGCACAGTCTCTGCAAAATATCCTGGGTGCTCCAGTCTCAGGGGTCTTTGGGCGTTTGTTGCATTTAACCTGTACATCTGTGCTGCCTAGCAGCTGCTAAGACTGGGAACACAGGAGCTTTTATTTAGTTGTACGCTTCTATGTATTTAAGTAACATAGTTTAAAAAAAACCTGAAGCCAGCACTGGGGATTCCTGCCTGTAGGAATCCCCATCTCCAGTGCCAGCAAGTTTCTAGATGCCTGTGCTGGGCTGGCACGGTAGCTGCTGTGTTCTCAGTGGACTAGTGGAGGCCCCACAAATCCCTCCAAGTTTCTCCCAAATCACGAGGCACCCCTCATGATGCTCTAGATGGCATCACCAGAGCTCCAGGGCCTGGCTGTCAAGGTCCCCCTGAGAGGGCCGTCCCAGCCACTGGGCCCCACCTCAGCATATCACAGGCTGGCATGTGGGTCCCCTCAGGGCAAGGCCCCACTGTCACCAGTGCCGGGGTGGGGGCTATGCACCCCTGGCTGCTGAGAGGGAGAGATGGTGCCCTAAAGACCGGGCACCCGGGGAGCCGCAAGCCAGGCTTCTGTGCTCCCTCTCCCATCCCCCAGCTGCTCTCAGGCTCATCCCAAGGTCGTCCCTGAGGGGGCCTCCTAATTCTTGGCAGCCTCTTCTCTGAGGCCTGGTTTCCTCCTTGTAAAATGAAACAAACCTCCGCCGTGGAAGATGGTCTGGTCGACCCCACTGCCTGGGCAGCAGGCGCAGCCAAGGCCCGGGCTGAGGGCTGCTGGTGCAGGTCTGCCTGTGGACTTGCACTGCCCTATGGAGACCCGGGTGCCATCCTATTCCTAGGCTTCTCACAGGCACAAGTGACCCCAGGCTCCTGGAGGAACAGGCTCCCCTAGTGACTGAGCTGAGACTGGAGCCCCCGAGCCCTGTGAGGAGGAGACGAGCTCTCATGGCCTGAATGCCAGCACTGATGTCCTGAAGCCTGTGAGGGACGGAGGTGGGAGGGAGGGACATGGGGAGCTGGAGAAGAGGTAAAAGGAAAGGACGTTTGTGGCAAGTCCACCCTCAGCAGGCAACCCAAGGAAATGGGGGCACACCTAGCTCCAGGGTCCCACTGCCAACCATCCCTAGGGATGTGGATCTTAGTGTGACACTAGAGAGAATGTGCTGGCCCCAGGGGTCAAGGTCCTGATGGTGCTCAATTTTCAACACAGCAATGCCCTGTCCCACTGTGCTGCTGAAGGGCCACTCCATGCCTTGCAGGACCTGAGGATGCCTGGTGACTCTCCCCAGAGATGCCTGCGGGGGTGGGGCATGCCTAGGGCCCAGGTCCGGCTTCAACCCTCCCAGGATGGTCACCCGATGCCAGCTATCGGCTCTCACAGTCATGTTGCCAACCCTGTGGTAGCAACAGATATGACAAGTTGTTCTGGGAGGACTAGGGAAGGACAAAGATACTCAGCACAGACGCAGCCCCTAGCAAGAGCTCCACATGGAGCAAGGAGGCCACCAGAGGTGCTGAGAAGCTGCCACCTGCAGGGGACCCTGGCTAGTGGCTCCTGGAGCTGCATCTGCACAAGGCACGATGGATGGAGTTCTACAGGCACAGGGAGAGCTACATTTCTGGGAAGGACCTTCATCTGGACCCCCACCCGCTGCTACTTGCCAGGAAAGGTTGGAAGAACAGGAGAGGGACATGTAATTGGGGGGAGAGGGCTGAGACCATTTCTAGGTGGGGTCCTGGTTGGTGGCTAAGTTGGGGGCTCTCCTCCAGCTCAGTCCACTTCTCAGGGAGCCAAGGGCAGGTATGGATGGCCACCCAGAACATGGGAAGGGCCAGGCAAGTGCCCTGAGTGTCAGCTCTCTGCCCTGCTTGCTTGTCTGTGAGTGCTGCTCTCCCGAGGAGAACCTGCCTTTAAGTAGAACCTGGAGCTGTCCAGGCAGGAGAAGGGGCATAGGAGCAGCCACCTGCAGAGCCTGAAAAAACCCAGCATTGACCAGAGGGGACAGGAGTCAGAGGAGGAGAGGTCTAGACAGAGGGGGGCTGCAAGGAGGACTCCACTTGGCTGCTAGGGCCCACGAAAAGGACACAGAGCCACAGCTGGGGCCCAGAGCAACCTGGAGCTCCCACTGCAGGAGCTCAGGACGCCTGCAGCCTGAATGCCTTGGGGACAGGCTCTGGAAAGCAGGGTTTGGGAGGGCTTCCTAGGCCCATCTAGGATGAGCTGGCTCTTGTGCAATTAGCCCACTTCCTCATCCCTAAAGTGGGGCTGATAACAGCATCCCGCCGTGCACCAGGGAAGACTGACTAAAGGGACAAGCCTCTGCAGCACTCTGGTGGGCATGCGAAGGTACCCGGGTTATAGCAATTGCAACTGTGAGGATGGGCTAGGGACATCGAGGCCCTTGTAGTACAGTGTCCCAAAGCTGTCATCGTGATATCATCATCCTCCCCCTTAGAAAAGCAGCATCTGATGCTGGCCCCTCACTTGATCTCTAGCCAAGTACTGCGAGCAACACAATATCCACTCCCACTGTCCAGACAGGAAAGCAGAGCCCCGGGCATGGAATAATCTGCCCAGCGTCAAGCAACCAGTAAGAGTCAGAGCCAATGTGTGCTTCCCTTCTGGGGTCCCCAAAGCACAGAAATTCCTGAAAACTACATGGTTTGCCAGGTCCAGCTGAGCTGCCCCCACCCCAGCAGGCAGGGACAGGCAGCGGGGACATGATCCAGGGGTGGGCAGCCTCCCTGCTCCTACCCTTCCCACTTGAGTCCTGTCACCAATCCATGCGCTCAGGATTCCAGCGATGGACAGAGACACACACACCCTCCCCCCCAGTCTAAGCGGGGCCTCCACCTTGCAGGTGACCTAACACCCCAGGTTTCTAAGCCACCTAGAGTCAGAAAAGGTCATCAATCAGAAATGTCAATATCCTCCTTGAAGCTTACTCCCCATGGGACCAAGAAATTTGGCAGGGTAAGATTTTTCTCCCAAAGAAGAAAGCAGATTAAAACAAAACAAAACAAATCCAAAAGGCCTTAAAGAGAACCAAGGGCAGATCTTACTCAGGCTGAGCTTGGCACCCTGTGCTTACTGACCTGATGCCTGCCAGGCCCTTTAAGTGATTCAAAGGCTTGGCTGGATCTCATTTAAGGGCTGAGACATCAGCTTTTTTAGGAGCAGTCCCAGCTAAGAAGGACTGCTGTCACTGTGTACAGCTTTCAAGCACTTGTTTCTGCCTATTCATTGAGGAAATTAATATTTTGGCTCTGGCTACCTCCTGGCACAGTTCCTATGACCTAGGCTGAAGGGGTCTGGGCCTGAGCCTGCACAGGGGGTCTTTCAGCCCTGTAAGAGCAGGAGGTGGGTGGGGCCAGGCCAGAGCTAGGTCGCTGGTGCAGCTGGGGGAATGAAAACATCTTGGCCCCATGCAGGAAGGCTCTTCCAGGCCTCCTCTCCTGCTGCTAGACTAAACCTCTAGCTTCCCAGGCCCCTGGGGGCCACCCTCCATTCTCCATCCTAGGTGTGCACAGGAGGAAGGCTCTAAGATGGGACATAGGACAAGAGCTAGTGACATGCCAGCCTTTCCCAGGGCCTTACTATGGAGAGCATGTCTAGCATCTAGAACCCTTCTCTGGTGCCTAAGAACCCACCACCCTTGCTGGTCCCTCCTGGAGCAACCTGCCAGGCTGGCTTGGACACTCCCTTCTAGTTTTGGTACTTGCCACTTGATGTTGCCTCTGACCAGCTGCAGGAAAAACCACACCCCCTTCAGAAGAGGTGGGGCCAGAGCAGACCTTCCTCCCACTGTTCCTTCCCCTCACTAGACTCTTGCCCATCCCAGACCTGGCCTAAGTCCTGGTGTCTCCTCTCCCTCCTTTCACCCTCCTGAGAGCCTAATGTGTCATACGGCTCTCTCTGTCTGTGGCACCTTTACTGGTTTCCATTTAACAATTTCTCACAACCGTGGTCCTAAGAACAGAGACCAACAGACTCACGGGCACCTGCTCCATGGCAACCCCCACTCTGAGGCCTGGAGGAATGGCCTCCCTTAATTCACATGCCCACCTACCTGCCTGCTATAAGGAAGGCCTCCTCTCCAACTCACGCATGAAACAGAGAGAGAAATTCCCTGGCACACCAGCAAGCATGCCACCCTGGCCTCAACCCAGGGTCACCTGTCCCTAAATCCCAGTCATCTGCTGTTCACCTAGCCTTCCCTGGAAGACACAGCAACCATTATCCAGAGTGGGAACAAGCAGAAGTGTGTCTCCCCTGGTCCTTCTGGGGGCTCAGAGCAGTCCCAGGCTGGGGCTCACCTGGCTGGGCTCTGCAGGTGCTCCTCACGCCGGCAGGTGCTTCCAGGTGCTGACAAAGGCCGTGGGGATGAGTGAGTAGGGCACGGTGGTGATGCAGTTCCACGTGTCCGAAGTGGGGTCATAGCAGTCTAGGGTCTTACACCTCTGGGTTCCAAAGTAGCCCCCGACCACATAGAGCTTGTTTCCTGAAGCCAGGGCATGGCAGGACATACGCTTGGCAGTCATGTCACCGATCCGTGTCCACTGGTTGGTCTCACAGTCGAAGCGGTAGGCTGAGGCAGCTGTGAATTCTGTGTCACCTCCCATGATGAAGATCTGGCTGCCCAGGACAGCAGCAGCTGTGTACCGCCAAGGTTGGGGACACTCAGCCTTGATAGTCCACCGGTTTTCTGATGGGTCATAGCATTGGACTTTGGATACCATGTCTCGGTGGATGCTGGTCCCTCCAAAAACAAAAAGCTTCAGCTTGGCGCTTACCACTGCAGCGTTGCTGACACCGTCCCTCAGTGGGGCAACCATCGTCCACTTGTTGGCTCCAGGGTCATATTTCTCTACTTGCTTCAGGGAGACTGAAGGCGAGGCCGGGAAGACGCCGGCCAGGGACGTGTGTCCTCCTACTACGTACAGACAGTTCTCCAGCTCTGCCGAGCCATGGCCAAAGCGAGCGATCAGCATGGGTGCTGCCTTGGACCACTCCTCATGGACAGTATCATACACCCAGACATCCTTGGAGACCCCATTCTCGGAGCCCCTGCCTCCCGTCACATAGACCTTGCAGCCGATTGCAGAGGCACTGAACTCCTTCCGGGGGCTGGGCAAGTCTGCCTTGGGGATGATCTCCTTGGCCTTATGGTCCACCTGGTAGATCTTGTCACACATGAAGGTCTGGCCCCCCAGGATGAGCAGCGTGTGGCCTGCCTTGCGTGGCCGGGCACAAGGGCTGGTGACCACCCCATCATTCTGCAGGATCTTGGTCTTGCAGTGGAGGGCCTCGTCTATGATGAGTTTGGTCCGCTCGTCCGCCATGAGGAGGGCCTCACCGGAGACTGCCTCCTTCAGGCAATCCGATGGCAGCAGGGCCAGGCGCACACTGCGCAGGAGCTCGGGCAGGTGGGCCTTCCGCTCCTCCAGGTCGTGCTTCACCCACTGGAGGATGGCTTCAAAGACCACCCGCTCGTCCTCGGTCTCCAGCTCATCGCTGGAGATGAGGTCCAGCAGCGTGTCCTTGGACAGGCTGTTGAAGTCCTCGCTCTGCCGCACGGTCTCGAAGTGCACCAGGCACATTCGCCAGGAGAACTCGTAGAGCCGGCGGCACTGATGGGCGTCGGACAGCAGCATCATGCCTAGGCAGTTGGAGGGGAAGAGGTTCTTCTCCAGGAACTCGGCGGCCGCGTCCCGCACGTCATGGAACTGCAGCATGTCGCCGGCCTCCAGCAGCGACTCGGCATTCTCCTCGTTGATGACGATGCGGGAGGAGTAGGCAAAGTCCAGCAGCAGCTCCAGCACCTCGGGGTGCAGGTTGTCTTGGAAGTTGACCGTGTCATCCCGGCTCTCCCGCAGGCCGTGACTGAACATGGCCTCGAAGTAGCGGCTGGAGGCGGCCAATACGGCCCGGTGGCAGGGGAAGGCCCGGTCACCCGCCCAGAGTGTGACGTCGGTGAACATGCGGTGCTTGCGCAGCGTGTTGAGGTGGGCCAGCACGCAGTCGGGGTGGGAGGCCTTGTGGAAGAGAGTGATGTTCATGGAGCCCGTACTGCTCCGTGACTTGCGGGTCTCGTGGACGCTGACCGACATGGTAGCCAAACTGCAGGGGGAGGGACACAGGTGAGAGAGGCCTCTCCTGCCCACAGGCCCTCTTGGTGGCCTGGCCTTCAGCCCCCAGCCCCACACACCCTGGCCTCTCCTTCCCCTCCACTCTGCTCAACTCTGACAAACCATCCCCACTCCCTAAGCCACACCTCTAAGAACAATGGGCACCAAGGGTCTCTCTCTGCCCTGGAGAAACTGGTTTTGTTCCTAGGTTGGAAACACTAGGACACATCTTTGGGCTAAGATGAGCCATCCCTGGGGTAAGCTCCAGCTAGGGCTGCCTCTCCTAGTGAAGAGCACATGGGAGGCATCCTGATTTGTGTAGACAGAGGCCAAGGGAGCGCTCAGTAGCATGTGCCCTTGACCACACTGCATGCTCAGGAGTCCTTGGGTGAAGGGTCTCTTGTGAGCCCCATTGTTTAGTGAGAGCAGCCCAGGCTCAGAGAGGCAGAGCAGCTATACCAGGAGCCAGGGCCAGGAATCCCATGCAGGCTGTCCACTTCTGAGGCCCGCCTCTACCCTCAGTTAGCATATGGAGGCTTGGATTCCTGGAGAATTTGCCATGGGGGACTTTTTAAACATGTTCCCTAGGACCAGTGAGCACCCCAGCAGAACCTTCCATATTCCCACCCCCATTCCCATCCTGTGCTAGGCTGCAAACAGTAGGAGCCAAACACCCCCTTCTCCCCAAATGTTCAGTGTGGATATGTTCTCCAAATCTAGGGATCTGCAGAGACCTCTGCACCTAGCTGGGATGAGTGAGGGTTTGGAGGTGAGGCCAGTTCACCAGTGACTCACCCTGGGGAGCAAGACAAAGGCCTGGGATGACACTCTCAGCACCAAAGCAGCCATAACACTCAAAGCCTACAGTCCCTTCCTGATCCCTCTAGGTAACTACAGAATCTTGGCCACCAAGGGTGTGTGTCTCCTGCCTCCTGTTCTGCTGGGCACCGCAACTGTGCAACTGGATTGGCAGAGGTTCACCACCTGCTTCAATCTGGAGGGTTCAAAGCACTTTGGCTTTGATCCAAATTCAATTAAATTTGAATTGGGGAAAAATTCCAAAGCATTTTAAAGTCCAGCAAGACCCAGTTTAGTGCTGTCAAAGGAAGTTCTCACCAACAAGACAGGAAAAATCACACGCCTCAAGAAAACGCAGCCAAGAAGCAAACTGCATTCCTGCATCCTGACCCCCCCCCAAAGCCTGTGCTGCTTTCCTCCCAGTAGCAGTGGTGGGCACAACGAAGTTTCTTCTTCACTTTTAATTTTCAAAAGTATATAACTCTCCTTGCCCCCACCCAAAGTCAATTTTCTACTTAAGTATAATCTGGTAAAGGAAGGAAGCGATTTCATGCTTCAGTGAAGTTGTAAATTAGCGTCCAACTTCGTTTTTCTCTCTCCTTCCTTGGCAAAGAACCAGAGAAGCCACAAACTAATGTAATCAGAGCTGCGTGGGTGAAGTCCCTGCTCCTGGCCTTGCTGCCTAGGCCCCCAAGATCCTGGCAGATCCTGGGACCTTCCACAGACACTGCTACGTGAAGCTGCACACCCGAGGTCATGAAGTTCACCTGCCTGGGAGTGGGCGCGAGGATGCTATCGGGCTGTATACAGGGATCTCTGCCACTCCCACACTCTGCCTGGGGTACCTCTCCCCTTCTCTGTACCTCAGTCCTTTTTTCTCTAAAGTCAGATCCTCATTCAGCTCAGGCCTCTGAGATTCCCTCACTGGGCAATTATTTCTCAAGCCTGCCCTGAAGCTGAAGCCCTAGCTAGGATAGGGAGTCATGGAGGCTGAGAGGCTATGCCGAGCGGTAAGTTGGAGGCTTTGTCAAGGCCCCTGACCCGTGGGAATTGCCCAATATGAACTGTGGACCCTGCAATGCGTTTCCCGTTTCCCCAAATCTTGTTGTGATTGCTAAATCCTCATTCCAGCTTCTACTCCCTCAATCCCTGGCCTCTTTCCCCAGCATGGCCATTCACCCAGGAGCCCTATCCTACCCCCCTCTCCGTGAGGGCCATTTTATGAGGCAAGTGTTGCCTCTGATTTGTAGACCAGGTTGGGGGGGCAGAATGTGGGCTCCAAGCCAAGGACTAAGAAGGACTCTGGGACTCTCAGGCCCAAGCCCTCTTCCCCCCAGGGGCATGTGGGGCTCCACCAGTTATGCACAAGACCTGACCCCTGACGGGCGGTGAGGGTAGAGTTCTTGCTTTCCCCACCGCCATGCTGTGAGGACAATATACCCCAAGGTTGCAGATGGAGGCCTGAGGGGTTTTCTGGTGTGGGCAGTGCCTCACTTGCAGTAATCCCCTCCCTAGCCCCTTACAAATCCCAGGTCTGTGCTCTTCAGGCAGGTGATCATGGGCTGCAGGGCCTCCACACTTGTGTTCACAGGGCACTGGTGAGGACATCCAGGTGGAGGCTCCATTCAAAGGGGTTACAGGTAAGCTCAACAGACTGAGGAAGTCCCAAAGTGGGGTTAAATCCCAACAACTGCCCTGAGAAGGCCATACAGTAGTGACCTCTTCAGAGCCCGAGATGACCAGTGTCTTGCTAAACTCACCATGAATGACTGCTTGATAACAGACACCAACAACTCTCACTGTACCACAGCAGGTTCCCGCTTCCCATCAGCTGCCAGCCTGGGGGACCCTCTGGGCCGAGAGCAGCAGAGGCACCTGCCTGGCTGTTTCTCAGCTTCCCACCTCCTTTGGACAGCACCTGCCTCTGGGTCAGTCTCCCAGTGACAGTAGCCATTGCCTCACCATATCCCAAGTGAGGCACTTGGACCCAATATTCAGATACGGAATACTAAGGCCCACACACATTCCAAACCTGTTATTTAGTATTGTCTCCCTAGCTACACAGGAGTCCAGCAAAGCAGGGACCATGTGCAGTGCGCAATGATGCGTCTCAACACCCAGCATGAACAGCAGTCCCTCAATTTGATGGAATGGACCCATCTGTCCCTTTCTCTGGTGGTGAGACAGTCCTGAGACACATTCAACACACGAAACTCACTTCACATAACATCCAAACTGACTGCTCCCAGATGCTGTCTAGACTCAGAGGGCAGGAAGACCACGGTGGTAGTGAACGCTGCCCAGGTGGCTGCAACCACGTGTGTGCATGAAGAACATTGGCTGTGTGTCACTGAACCAGCAGGATGCCCCTTCCTCATGCGGACACCTGGCTATTCTCTGGGTGCCCGCTGCCTCCACCCTCCTCCACTCCAGGGTGGGCATTTTGTCCTCGATGGCTCAAGAGGCACATCCCGCCAGGCTTGGCCAATCAGTCTGTGCCCATGACCCAGTGGGGATGGCCTCACTCCACAGATGGGCCTGAAGACTACTCTATGGTGTATACAGAAGTTTCAGGAGAGACACAGGCTTTTTCTCCTCACTGGACTGGACCAGGGCTGGGAGCAAGGCGGATGATGGCTCTGTGCATGACGGAGTCTGAGGGAGGACAGCAGAGCCCCTCATTCCTGCAGGGTTACTCCTGATCTGCACTCTCTGTTGAGGTCAGAAACCTGCCACCATGGGTCCTGGCTGGGACAAGGACTCACAGGGAAATCAGTTAACTGAGGCTGCTGGCCTTGGTAAGGGGTCTTCCTGTGTATGTCCCTCTGTTCTTTCCACCTCCAGGGAGCCCAGCCTGGCTCTGAGGAGACTGCTCTTGTGTGTTGAGGGCCAGTTATGCCCCAGCCCCTGCCACAGGAGTGCAGTGTAAGGCAGAGGCAGTAGGGGGAGGGCAACCTAGAGGGAAGAAGCAATCCTGTGTGACCTCCCAGCAGCCTCCCCATCTTTGGTGGCCACCATCAATCAGACACTCTCACACTATAACTATGTCAGAGAGGTTGTGATTATCTAAGCATTGCCCTAGGGTTTGATGAATTGAAGGCACAGAGCACAAGTGCATATCACTGCAAGGCCACAGAGCGGCAGTTCATCATCCTGCTGAGAGGACCGATCACCTCAGACAAGGCCACTCGCACACCCTGCCTGGCGTCCCTACCTGCAAAGGAACTATTAAAATGCACCCAATAACAATGTGCGCAGCCCATGTCTCTTAGTGCTCTTGGGAGGTTAGCCAAGTGCACAGTGAAACAAAGTAACTCAAATGAAGGAGGCAAAAAGTAACAAAGGGGGTGAGGCCTTTAGGAGAACACCTGCCACAATCCCGGGACTCCAGGGCCGAAGGCTCCACTCTGAAGGGAAAATGAAGAGGCCTGTAAAGCTGCTGCTGGCTGATGCTCTCTGGGAGGCCTGACTCCAGGGCACAGCACCAACCCTGCCTCACCTCGCTCCACCTGAGGAGCCAGCAAGCCCTCTGAGTCCACCATTCCTCACCGGAGGCCAGTGGGGTGGGAGACGCTCCCTGCTCTGCTTTTGGGTGGCTCCTGGGTGTGGATAGCTCAGGGCCATGTTAAAAGCTCAAGGCTGCAGCAAACCCACATGGCTCTCTGGTTCAAGTTGGAAAAGGGGCCGTGTCTTCCCAATGGTGTGCGGGTCTCTGGGTCCAGACGTCAGCCTCAGAGAGGAGCATGCAGCTGGACCTCCACCGCACCAGGCTGGGTGCTCTGGTACGGTGAACAAAAGGCACAGTAGTCATGGCAACGGCAGGAGCCAGCACTGACAGCAAGGCAAGCCCTGCCCTTGCTGCCCAGGTAAGCACCGGGGGAGCCGGGACGCCAACAGGACCACAAGAACCTGGGCCCTGCCACAGCCCATTTCCGCCATTCCCGGTTTCTGTTGTTGTTTTGCGGTTCTGGGGTTTTACTCCAGGGCTGTGGAGCATGCTGGGCAAGCGCTTCACCACAAGCACATTACCAGTCCTTCTGATTTTGAGACAAGGTATCAGTAAGTTGTCCAGGCTGGCCTCCGCAATCCTCCTGCCTTGGCCTCCTGAATAGCTAGGATTAAGGATGTGCACCATGGCACCTGGCTCCCCCACCCCCCTACCTTTTTTTTTTTGGGGGGGGGGGCAAGCACTCTACCAACTGAGCTATATCCCCAGCCCACGGCTCCCAATTTAATGATAAGAAAACAGAGGTTCCCACCACACTCCTGAAACACTGGCCTGACTGCATTTTCTGAGCTCCCTACTCTGAGAGGGGTGTGTGGGGGTCACAGCAGGGGAAGGGAAGACAACAGAATGACAGAAGTCTCCCCTCCCACCTCCCTGGGGAGCCCTGCCCTGTCAGCCCCCTCTCCTGAGGGATGGCACTGCAGGCTAGGGTACAACCAGCTGCAGGGACAGGTGGTCTTCGGCCTCCCTAAAGTTCAGAGAGGCTGTTCCCAGGCCAACCGTACAGAAGGGCAGTGCCCAGAGGTGGGGGGCCCTGGAGGTGCCCCTGTGAAATCAACTTCAGAAGCAGAGGAGCAGCTCAGGGGGCCAATCCCGCCTTGGAAGTGGAGTCCGTCACCCCAGACTCTCATTGCCCTCTCTTCCTGCTTGCAGTTCTGATCACCAGAGACACCAGCAGTTGTATGCGAGGGCTGACCACTTGGTTCTGACTCACCGGCCCTAAGTTTCCTGAATTCCATGTACCACCTGCCAGGCATAGGGGTGGCCTGCACTTGGGCTGGGGTGGGAGGGCGGGATGGAGTGAGTAAGCAACTGAGCGCACAGGGTATTCTTACTTCCTGCGTGTGAGGACAGAATCAAATGGTCTACAGAGGGACAAGAGGGTGGGCCCATCTAGGCCCTGCAAATGGATGTGAGCTGACACTCAAAAGCCAGAGCAGGCGAGAAAGGAGGGCTCCAGGCAGAGGATCAGCAAGTGCAAAGGCCAGGTGGAAGTGAGGCTTCAGGAAAGAGAGAGGGGCCTGAGAGAGAGGGGCCAGGGAGAGCTCATGTGGGCGAGTGGGGCAGACATACCTCCCACTCCAAGGGGGGCTCTATGCCCCTGCCTTGAGCCTGGGCAGTTTCTGGGACTACCACTGGGAACAGGGCAACACTGCACGTTCCAAGCTGAGTTCTTCAGAGACTGGCAGCCTCCACTTCATCTCTGTAAGACTCACTCAAGGGGAGGCCGGCCCAGCTGGAGGGAAGGCAGACTACCCCTGGTGGCAGTGCTGAGGAAGCTAGTGCCGGCCTCAGGGCGGGCAGGAGCTGCCTGGCCTCCCCTGCTGTTCTGGCCACCTGGGCTCGGGAGCCACCATGTGAGTGAAGGTCCACCTTGGACATTCCAGTGGTAGCAGGTGCGAGATGGAGAACAGAGGACCCCAGGTGGGGGCTGGAACTGGGGTCTCAGCCTCTGACCTCACTGACTATAGTGCTCACAGGTCAATATATACAGACAGACAGAGAGCCACACAGTGTGCAGTACTGAGGACTGAACCCAGGGCCTCACACACTCTAGGCAAATGTTCTTATCACTAAGCCCAGGTCACCCAATCTAAAAATCTAAGATAAATCCTAATTAAGCACCTGCTGGATATCACAGACTGTGCTGAAAACCAAAAGAACAAAAATCAAGATGTCCGGGCAATACAAAACACACATGGGTGCTGGGAGATGGGAGAGGTAGCGAGTAGTTTGGAGCTGTTCTCTCAGGGTATTCTGCCCCAGTTCCACTAATATAACTGTCAAGGAAGTGCTGAAAAAAGGTCAAAGTTTCTCAGTGCTAATAGTTAGGAATAGGGATCCTGAAGACAGCTCAGCCATTACTGTGCAACCTTAGGCAAGTTAACTCACC